CGTCTATAGTTCATGTTACCCATATGTATGTACAATCTAACGTCTGTAGTTCATGTTACCCATAATTATGTGCGATCTAACGTCTATAGTTCATGTTACCCACAATTATGTGCGAGCTAACGTCTGTAGTTCATGTTACCCATAATTATGTACAATCTACCGTCTATAGTTCATGTTACCCATATTTATGTATAATCTAACGTCTATAGTTTATGTTACCCATATTTATGTATAATCTAACGTCTATAGTTTATGTTACCCATAATTATGTGCGAGCTACTGCCTATAGTTCATGTTACCCATATGTATGTACAATCTAATGTCTATAGTTCATGTTACCAATATTTATGTACAATCGAACGTTTATAGTTCATGTTACCCATAATTATGTACAATCTAACGTTTATAGTTCATGTTACCCATAATTATGTACAATCTAACGTCTGTAGTTCATGTTACCCATAATTATGTACAATCTAACGTTTATAGTTCATGTTACCCATAATTATGTACAATCTAACGTTTATAGTTCATGTTACCCATAATTATGTACAATCTAACGTCTATAGTTCCTGTTACCCATAATTATGTACAATCTAACGTCTGTAGTTCATGTTACCCATAATTGTGTACAATCTAACGTTTATAGTTCATGTTACCCATAATTATGTGCGATCTAATGTCCATAGTTCATGTTACCCATAATTATGTTCGATCTAACGTCTATAGTTCATGTTAACCATAATTATGTGTGATTTAACGTCTAGAGTTTTTGTTGCGAAGTATTCTCCTTTATATTTTTTTCAATTTCTGTCGTAGTTAAAATATAAATTTAACAACAGTTTTGTCGTGTAACGTATATCAACACGAAATATTTCGAATTCCTTTATTGAAAACAGTTTAAGCGTTACTATATTTATGTCAAGTGGTGTTAATTTTATCGTATCAATCTCAAACACGGCCACATTAACAGTGCATTGAATATACACGTCGTTAGTTTATATTATTTATATCTCATTCCCTATACGATGCCATCATTATTTTTTTTAAGTGGAATCACA